GAATGCTAAGGGTTTCCAAAGGAGGTAGGAAAGGAGGCAAGAAGGCTGGGGAAGTGCCCAAGGATTTGACTAAGTGCCCAGATGCCACCTGACCTAACCTAGAGAGAGTAACTTAACCAATGGGCCGTGGGTGCCGGGCTAGGCCGGCACAAGCAGCATGTGAGGTGTCTAGGGCTGGATTAGTATTGTGATGCCAATCATTACTACACAGCAATTCACACATCGAGTGCTTTGCAGTTTGCAAAGATCTAGTACATAAAAAGATGGCATTTTTTTCAATTCTAAAATAGCAATACTTGTGAAAATATATTTATCCTTTGATGGATGTTATGACCTTCAGGGGGGCAATAAAGTGATGTCCATTAGAAGCTACAAGATGTTCCTACTCTTTGACCCTATAAATATGTACAGGGATTTATCGTAAGGAAATAATGAGAGATGAACAGGAGCATTTTTGTAGAAGGCTGTTAACTGAAGCTTGTTTTATAATGGAGAAAAAAAAACTAAGCGGCAAGCTAACAATCCAATAACGGAATTGGTTAAATCACAGGACATCCATAAATAGAATAACCTCACAGGATGCTTCTATAGACAGAACCAATCTGTAAAGTTAGATGTCAGAACAGTGGTTACCCTTTGGAGTAGAGACTGGAAAAGCAAAGGAAGGTTTGTGGGTGCGGCAGGCATGCGTGGGTTCAGTTTTTGCAAATTCATCAGGTAGTGTACATAGTTTGTTCATTTTATACATATCTGTCAATAAAAGTTTTTAAAAGATGTCTTTGAAAAATAATGCTCAAGAGATAAAAATGTTATGTAAGATACAAAACTGACTGTACAGTTCTGAATGTTACAGAAAAAAGCAAGAAGCAAATACACTAAAATACTAACAGTGGTTTTCTCTCTGGGTGATGGGTTTATGGGAGACGTTTTTATATATAATTTTCTATATTTTTTCTTTATAGCTACCCACCTTTTAAAAAATTCTTGAAATTTGTAACACTTTACAAAAGTATACAATGGCATTTCATGTATATATGTTATCTAACGCCCCCAACAACCATGTGAAGTGGGCACAATTCTCTTTTTCATAGGGCTCAAAAGAGACTTGCCCCTAAGCACAAAGCTAGTAAGAGGCAGAGCTGAAGTTCAATGGGTCTTCTGAATCCAAGCTTCAGGCACTTTGTTTCAACCCCCAGATCTGGGTGGACAGCTGGGAAAGCCAAGTTGGAGATGATCTACTGAGAACAAGAGGACAGGACTGATCTATCATGGAGGCACCTCCCTGTTCCCAGCAGGATTGTGACCAGGTCAGGTGGGGGTGGAGAGATTCGTTTGGGAAGGGATGGAGAACAGGACGGATGGCAGAGGGTTTCCTGAAGCCAGAAGAAGCCCCAGAGTGGGGGCCACCTTGCTCATCAGGCTCTCTCCTGAAAACTGGATGCTTTCCCGAACCCATCCTCCGACTTCCTCCTACTTGGACTATTATCGGGCCAGGAGTCTGTCACCTGCCTTGTCAGATGTGATAAAACCAGAGGAGAGGGCTTGTGACTCAGCCACCCCCGGGCTCAGCTCCTTGGCCTGTTCCTGGCTGGGCCACGTGGTGGGCCTGGATAAGGCTCTGCCTGCCTGTCTGAGGAGTGGTAGGGAGGAGGGTCAGGAGGCCAGAGAGAAAAAAGTCACAGGCTGGAGGACTGGGGCCTGGCCCTGGCTCCCTAGGGCCATAGAGACACAGCACTCAGCCCCTTCTCCTTCTACTGCTGTACCCCTGGCCTGTCCCCGACCCCTCACCACGTCCTAAACACACAAAACCATTCAGGATCCCCAAGAGCCGGCATGGGCGGTGCAGACATTTTGAATTTCAGGGAGTGCTTTAAACGGGTCAGAAAAGAAGTGCAGGATGGTAACTACACACACTGAGGCGCATCAGAGGGCGTCAGCTTCGGCTCTGTCTCCGCAGAGGTCCCACACAAGCTGTGGGCCCTGTGCTGGCTCCGGCGGCCCGGTAATGAATGTTGACTAGAAAAGGGCTTGTCAAATTCCCACTTTCAATCAGCCTCCAGACTTGCATCAGATTTCTAGATTATCCAGAGCTACTATATATATTTGGCTAACAAAATCTAGATACAGAAGTCATTGGTGCAAAATTTGGCACAAAATAACATATAAACATATTCATATAAACGATGAACTGCAACCACGTCTGACACCGTATCATTATAATAACCAGCCCTCACATTTGGACAGTATTTTAGCCTGCAAAGCATTTTCATGTGCAGTATCTCACTCCTGCAAGGAAGTAGGGCTGTATGATTACCCCTAGGAAAAGTGAAGAAAAAGAGGCTTAAAGAGATGGAGACACTTGCCTAGGTCACACAATTTCCAGGATTAGAAACCAGGTGTGACTCCTAACCTAGGACTGACCCCACCAAATGTAAAACAGCTCCCTCAGGAAAAGAGGGAAGGCATTGAGGGAGGTGGCGTGGCACCCCCACACAGGGAGAGAGAGTGAGAAAAACAGTATCGGGCCAAAGTGGGGATCTGAGCACAGGTCCCACCACCTTCCCCATGAGTACTCACGCCAGGAGCTTGCTGTGGTCCAGTTGGTGGCTCGGGGGCATCCGGCAGGCACTAAACACAATGATCTTTCGCCCATACTTGTCATCTCCTAGGTACGGAGAAAGATGGAGCATGGCGGGTTAAAGATGAACCAAGAGAAGTAGAGAGAGGTACCAGGCCTGGAGATCCGTACCATTTACTATAGAGGCCAGAGTGGCCCTTGCAGATATACCTCAGGGGAGCTGCCTGCACTCAAAGGTGTGTCGCTGAAGAAAGAGGGACAGGTTGCTCTCAGGGCTGCTGAGCTGGAGTGTGAAGAAATAACATGACTTTAAAAAATAAAAAGTCACACCTGGTGGAACAACCCAAATGTCTGTCAATGGATGAATGGGTAAAGAAAAGGTAGTATGTCTATGCAATGGCATATTCTTTTCCATCTATAAAAAGGAATGAGTACTGACACGTGCTACCTTATGAATGAACCTTGAAAACATCATGCTGAGTGAAAGAAGCCAGTTACAAAGGGCTACATCGTATGAATCCATTTACACGAGCTATCTAGAATAGGCAAATCCAGACACCGAAAGCAATTTAATGATTGCCAGGGCCAGTGGGGCGGGCAAGAACAGACTGACTGCTAATGCGTACAGGTTTTGCATGGGTATGGATGAAATTCTGGAATTACAAAGAGATATACAACATTATGGATGTGCTAAATACCACTGAATTGTACACTTAAAAATGGTTAATTTCAATTAAGAAAAAAAAAATCACACCCTCCAAAGCAATTGTCTTGTCAGTCATCTCAAAAGTCTGACTTATTCCAGAAGCAGCCCCTCTGAGCAGCGTGGCTTTGGGAAGCTACCTTCTCAGCAAGTATGAGGCTACGGAGGAAATCAGCCTGATTACATAATAGTCATGTCTCATTCCTGACCACTGACAACATTTTCTGATTTTATTAGAATTATTGACCACACTTGGCTCTAACTTCTGGGACATTTTTAAAAATCATAGCCTTCTTCACTAAGGAAATTACAAAGAACATGAAGTTGAGAGAAGGGAAAATGCTCATTTGGATGGAATTTCTCAGGGATGTTTGTCCAAAAGTAGTCACGATCTGATGGTCTGACCATCTGACTTTGTCATGAAGCTGGGAAGCGCCTGAGACATATGCTATTTTCCCCCAAAATGAGATGTTCTTCTAGGGTCAGCATGGATCAGGGACCCCAAGCAAAGCTCAATGGGGCTAAGACCTGGTCCCTACTTCCCTATGTCCCAGGGCCCTCCCCTTTATCTCTACGGTCATGCCTCTCCAGAGACACCAAACCACACTTAATTCCGATTACTTCAGAGGTGAATAAGAAGACTATTTACCCAACCCATAAAATGCAGTGAGTCTGTCCTCCGTCTACCTCTGAGGACTAAGGATCCCCCATGCCTTGCTGAGTGTCTCCCCCATATTTAAATAGCTATGACCTGATGATCCTTCTCAGTCAGTGATTCACCCAGTGCTTTTACAAAGTGGTTGCTTTTCCAAAGGCTCTGACTCTTTTCTCTAGGACTGGGGCCAGACTCAACAGAGAGGCTGAAGGAGGCTTCTGGAACGTGGACAATGTGGCCCTAGTCTCCTGCTGGCTGTGTTCCTTCGAATGGCTCACAGGATTCTCCAGGAGTGGCCCCCACCTCCCTCCAGGCTCACACCATGCACAATTCCAACACAGAAGTGCTTGCAGACTGTCCACATCAGGCTGCTTTGATCTTTTGCTGTTTCTCATGCCAGACAGACCTTTCTCTAGACAATTTTGGTCCCCGCTCTAAGCTAACATCTTTGAATCCTTAAGACTCACCCTAGGCATAATCTCCTTCCAGAAGCCTGTGTCTTCTCCTCCTTCCCCCAGACAAGTTAGCCGTCCCTTTTCATGGCTCCGAGCATGAATCATCATCTATCTGTCATGACATTTTGACTCTCCTGTATAAGTGTTTATGTGCCTGTCTTCTCTATTGGCTTGTGAGCAGCTCAAAGAGAAGGACTCGTCCGTCTTTGCATCTCTCATGCTAGTCCAGAGCCCAGCACATGGCAGATATTCAATAATAACTGATAGTCTGCACAGAGTTATCAGTCAGCATTACATGGTATGCACAGTTCTATTTCTGAGTTTGTTCACAATATCTAGGTCATAAGACTGCTTTAGACAGTGAGTTTCCCAAAGCCTGGGGCAGAATTTTTCCAGACTTACAAGCAGAGAACTGTCTGCAAGTCTGTCTGAGGGGAAGAAGATGCAGCTTCATCCAGCACAACAGGGCAGCAGGTCCATTTTGAAGAAGTGGGAGCCACCTGCTCTCTTTCATACCCTAGCCTAGATCCTGGTGGGTTGGGTTCCTCCCAGGCCAGCTTTGGGTGGCTCTGGGGCCTGTTCTGATTCACTTCCCATGGGCTCTGACAGGAGGAGGAAGAGTAGACGGGCAGGGGGTCGGGGCCAAGGGGTAGACTGGCCAGCCCAGCCTTATGTACAATCTAGAGGATCAGAAACCCCTGGGCCTCCTACCATGAGCCCGTGAGGGGAGGGACATCATCTGCCCACTCCCTTCTAAGCAGAGGAAATAACCAGGATGTGAGGGTGTAGGGGGAAATGCCAGAAGTAGTATGGGGTATTCCATAAGATTCTTTCCGTGTCTGCCCCGCAACGGTAAGGCAAGCCTCACTGGCTGGCAGATTTGAGGACTTAGGCAGGGCAGAAAGCCTGAGCTTATATAGCTTTGGAATTTAAAGAACTAGTAACTAGTTAAATGTGCAATTGGAGTGAAGGTCCAGAGCCTGTGGTCCATCTCTCAGCTGGCCCTAGCACCATGTAAAGAGAAACTTTGGGTTCTTAGCTAGGGCTCTACCAACGGGCATCCACCAAAGCCATGATGTTATATGAAAATATTATACACATGTTTTTTAGGGGCCCATACCTTTCACATTCTAAAAGAGGTCTCTGACCAGTTTTAAGAACCACTTCCTTGAAGGAAAGAATGCGTATTTTTCCTCACTGAATCCTCAGTGCTGACTACAAGGCTCATTCCAGAGTAGGTGTTCTATAAAGGCATGTTAAATGAATCAGGATGGGGATGGGGATGGGGAGCAGTAGGGAGGGGATAAATGGCAAGACCCCCGGACAGGTGAGGAATGACATATTGGTAACTTTAGGGTCTAGCCCCTGCCCCCCTCCCTGGGGTGGAGTCCCAGTGCCCAAGTCCTTGAGTGACCCAGGCATTTGCCAGCAGGCAGGGCAACTGGTGCTACGAGAACACAAGTAAAAAGACCCAGAACTCCCCTCCTGATCTCAGAAGAGCACAGACTTCTGTCCTGGAGACTGACGGGACAGAAGGAGCTGGCAGCACTGCTGTCCCCAGAGCACCGGGGGAAAGGGCTCAGTGAGGAGGAGGCACATTGTTGGTGGAAAGTACCAGGAAAAGACCAGCCGCCTGAAATTGAAGCCTCTGCATTCCCCAGATACCGATCAGGAACTCTCCCAGGGTGGCCTGGGTGTTAATCTGCGACAGCACAGCTCCTCTAGCAGGCATTCTGGGAACTGCCAGGCCAGCAGCCCCACCCACAACCCGCAGAGCAGTCCAAGGAGATGGGAAGTGGGGGCTGAGTGCTGGAGCCAACTCACACATTCGTTAAATTGTTAAATTGTCAGGAATATTGGAAGCCAGTTGAAATCATGTTAGTAGCTTGAAATCTGCCATGGTAGAAATTGCAAATGCTACAAATAATAGCCTTTGTTTTCCCTTTTATGAGCGTCATGTTTACCAGCACATCACTGGGAAGAACCCACTTGGACTGAGTCAAATGTGACAGTGAAGCATGACAGCCACTGCTAGCAAGGAAAACGGAGGCCGCAGAGGGGTTGAGGACATAACCCATCCTCCATTCCAACACAGGCTTTCTCTGGTTTCTAATGTCAAGGAACTAACCTTCAGGACATCACCATGGTCTGATCAAACAAGTCTCACTCTGGCGGTGCCAATCCCAGCTTCTCTCAGTCGTCAGAGAGGCACACACATGGGGACAACCCCACCAGAGGGACCCTGAGCCTGCAGCACTCAGCTCAGGCTTGAGAAGCCAGCATGCAGGCCAGGCCATTCCTCAGAGCCAGCCAACCCTGCCCACTCCTTGGGATAAGGCCCCTCCCTCCCTGAAGCTCTTTTCCCTTTGGCTCTGGAAGTATTCCCACACAGCCCCCACCCTGCCAAACATCTCAAAGTTCTTTGCTGTTTCTGGCTCCCAGGCACAGCCCACAGTTCCCTAGAGTGGGGCTGCAATTAAGCTGGCCCCACCTGGCCTCCACCTGTTCCACAGCCCAGAGGCCACAGCCCAGAGAGGCTAAGCAGAGAGAGCCGGGAACACACCTACCTGGCTGGGCCCCCTCAGGCTCATCGCACCCTGGAGAAACAGAAACATGTTGCAGCTCTGCTTGCAGGGAGACAAAGAGTCCCGTATGGGAAGTGGGGGAGCCTGCCCTGCTTTGCCTTGTGACTTGGCCATGTAGGCCAAGAGAATGTCAGGATAGAGATTCCTTCACATCAGATACTCTCCACGCCCCAATCAGGTCCATCTCTGGTAGTGAGGAAAGTTCTGAAACTTCAGGTGACTCTCCTGTGCCCAGGTCAGGACCAGATCGGGAAAGAACACTCAGCCTTGCTTCTATAGGGGCGAGAGAGGCCACAGCCAAGGCCCCCACCCCAGACCAGAGCAGGCTCCAGGAACACAGAGGTCATGGAAACACTTTTGACGTTAGCGTTTAACCTCTGAGCCCAGCATTCAGGAGAGATGGAACTCCTGCTGCTTCCTTATGGCCACATGCCCGCAGGGACCAGGTGTTCCCAGGCTCCCCCTGCCCACTCCAATGCCTCAGAGCAGGCCCTAGCTTACAGCTGCTGGGCCTAACTAGTCAGGATAGATAACCATTAGGGAAAAGACAAAGGATCTTGCAATTCATTTCCTCTTTTACAAGTAGGGCCCTAAGGGCAGAAACCAGGTCATCAACATCCCGGCTACCCACCCGGCTCCTCCAGTCTTCTGGATCCTGTATGATAAACGGGAAGGTAGGAGCACACTGAGGCTGAGACCCCAGAGGTGCTGCTCCTCACCCATTCTCAGCAGGGGAGCACAATTGCAGGGAACCTAATGCTCCAGGAGTCACATGGCCCCTATCTTCCAGACTTCCTTGGAGGTAGGGTTTCCCAGGAGGGGCTGGCACCTCCCTGCTCTCTAGTAAGCTGAATGGAGGGCAAAGGGAAGGGAGGTGAATGATCACTTATGTTCTGGCTCTGGGCTAGGCCCCAACACACCTTCACTACTGTAACCTTCTCAGCAACCCTGTCAGGAAGAAATGAATTCAGGGAGCAGAGTGGCAAGTCAAACCCAGGGCTTTCTGACTTTAAAGCCACTAGGCCACAATGCCTCCCACATGCCATCTGCCAATGGAGACAGTGGGTCACAGGTCAGGATGTGGTTGCAAATGAAGAAAACAAGTGCCATGACAATCAAGTCTGTGAGTTTAAAGAATGGTGCATGTGCTCAGGAGCCCCAGGGTCAGAGGTCAGACCACAGAGTGGGCACGGCTCCTCCCCTATCCCCTTCCCCAATGGCACAAGGAGCTGGCTCCCTTAAGCCAGGAGTGCAGACTACGAGGGAAAAGGTGCAGTACTGGTGTCCTCACCTGCCACCTCCACAATCTGGTGCCGGGCAATGTCGTAGTAAGGGTCATCCCACTTCAGGTGTGTGACAGGTTCCGGGGAGCTGCTTTTGGAGTCATCTGAGGAACATGGCAAAGTCAGGGGATAATCGGGGGGCTGGCACAATGCTCTCCCTGAGACTTGTGCTCTTTGGCTCTCCCCCCATAAGGTTTGTAATTCCGGACCCACCCTGGGGCTAGTCCGCTTGCCCCCATGCTGCCCTTCTGAAGTCTCCCTTCAGCAAGAAGGGGCTCTTCCCCTCTAAGATGCCAGCGGCTGCCTGGGATCCAGTGGTGCCCACCTGACTTGGGAAAGTCGGGCATTTCATCCGAGGGCCAGTTCTTCTCATCAATGGACGCTAGCTTCAGCTGGTTCAGAGCCTGGCTGGTGTCATCCACGTTCAGGTCGTCCTGCAGCTCTGAAAGTGGGTCCATGGCCACAGAACCTGAAGAGAAACCTGGGAGAGGACAGGTGACAGGTCAGTAACCCTCTTTTCACCTATAACTGCTACACCAAGCCTCCTGCGTCCACTCATTCCTCCCCCAAGCTCCGTTGTCCCTATTCCTCAACACTTCTCATTCTTGCCAAGATTTCCACGTAGCTCCTGGTTCTCCTGGATCCACAGTTCTCTGGCATGTTGTCAGAAAAGGCAGCTGGGGTAGAGGATGGCACAGCTCAGTGCCTGCCTTCAGGTCCTCCAGCTGGATAGAGAAGAACTGTGCCAGGCCCTGTTCTGCCCACTGCCCAGCTGGTTGTCACGTGGTCCCAGCTGCAGAGGGTAGAGGTCCACACCCCTCTCCTCAGGTGTAGTACAGCACAGAAGTTGTCCAGGCCCCAGCAGTTATGGCACAGACGTTGCAAGAATATAAAGAGCAGGGGATGATCCAAACCCTATGCCTGAAAAGGTCAGATGTGGCCCTGGCTACTCCATTTCTGACCCCTGGCCTGGAGGAGAGGAAGTGGCCAGAGGCCATAGGATCCCAGGAAACAGGCCATGGCTGAGGGGCCCCGCTGGACTTGCCCCAGGACAGGAACCGGGAGCAGAGGATAAAGTCTGCCTGCCAGTCAAAGCAGATAATCTGAAGGTTCCTGGGGGCTCCCAAACCCACTCTAATCTGTGGGGGAGCTCTTGACACTAACTTCAAGGTGGCAGAGGTCAACAGACTGCCCCAAGGATTGGAGGGCACAGATGGGAAATGGAGAAGTTCATGACATCATCAGAGTGCTGAGATACAGGAGGTGAAAAACAGGACAGCAGCTACAGAAGGCAGGGAGGGAGGAGACGAAACTAGGTTTGCCCAGGTCTGGGGCCTGGCCATAGGATGTGGCTGCATGCAGCCTGGAGGCAGCACCTTCTGCCCTCAGCCCTAACCAGAAGCAAATCCCTCTCCCATCACAAGTTCACTATATGGATGAGGGAGGGGAGTGTCAATTCAACCCATCCAGTTCAACCTCCGAGAAAAGGCTGCTCTAAGCCCACTGCATTCCTGGAATCCAAAAAATGACATATATGGTCAGAGAACAAGCAGGGCAGATAAGGAATGCAGACAAGACCCAGGGACGGGTAAGGAGAAGAAAGGAAAATTGCCAGCTGACATCTAGACCCTGAACACCTCTGGACTCTGAGGCGACGTGACAACCTCCTTGCACATGTCACAGCCGAGGACTCTGGATGGTAAACTGGCTCCCTGTGCCTAGCAACAACCATCTTGTTACCAGGACAACCACACTGATTCAGTTGCAAAAGCTGTTATAAGTTCCTGAGCCAAAGCTGAACAGCCAAACAGTCAAGAAATATATGTATATATTTTTCTTCTTCCTCTCCTCTGGACTTATCTGCTACCTTTATTCACTACCACTGCTTACCATCAAAATATAAATCTCTTCCCACAAACACAGAGAATGATGGCCCTCTCCTACGTGTGAATGCATTTTTCTCACTGAGTGCTGCTGTGCCCCTCACCCCCGCTCTCCCATTCTCCTTCAACCTTCCAACCCGGTCTTGAGGAAACCACCCCATTCATCTACATGCTCCTCCCCCTCCGCCCCCCCCCCTCAACCAGGAGGCTTGAGGGCTCTCCCAAAGGGGCCCCTAATAATAGGGACAGAATTCAGCTCAAAGTAACCCTCTCTAAGCCTGAGACTTCTCCTCATCTCTTCTTTCTGTCACCGCCCAGACACCAAGTGCTCCTTCAGCCCTGCCCAGAGCTATCCGAGAGAAGTCTTTCTACACACAGTGGGTGCTTGATGCAGTGAAAAAGGCATAAGATGAGATATATGGAGAACTGGATTATAGTCCTGCCTAAACCAATGAGTTGCAAAGATGCTGAGCAGCCCTTTTCCCATCTGGGCCTAAATTTCCTTATCCATAGAAATGAGGGCTCCTCCCAGAAATATGATTCTCCAATGTTCTAAAATACTCGTGCTGAATTGAACAAGAGTAGAAAGAGCAGCTGGAAGCTTAAGTACATGTGAGGGAAGAAGAGGGACACCCTCTAAAAGGGAGCTGAACTTGAACTCCACCTCTTTTCCAGTAAATCCTCTATTTTGTCAGTTCTTCCAGAACTGACCCCTAACCCCTCCTCCGCTCCATAACCTCTTCTTCCAGAATAACTAATCGCAGTTGCTTCCACCTCCCAGGCCGACAGGCCCTCTCACCACCCTCCAAACCACGGATGTTCCCCACTGTGAGCCTAGAAGCTTAGTTCCCATTCAGTGTAGCGTGAAGGAAGTTAGTGTGGGGAAATTCTAACGTAAAGTAGTGGAAATGTATCCTGGCTAAGACTCCAGTCACCTACAGGCCCTGCTCCATTTATGCAAAATAATCCTTACTCCGAGATTAAGTTTTCCCTTCTCAGTAGGTACCTATACAAAAATCTTTGAGACTCATTTTAGACTCATTTATACAGAGGTTTTAACCTTTGGGAAGTCTGGACCTCTGAAATTCTGACGAAATTTGAGGTCCTTTACCCTAAGAAAAATCAGCATGAAACCTTGCATGGAATTTTAAGGGGTTCACTGGCCCTCTGAGAAGCCCTGTTTAAGAACCCCTGACCTATTCAGAATTACATCTGACACATGTAGATGCTCAACCACATGCCGAATGAGAATGAATTAATTCATCTTCTAAGTGGAGAAGGGAACCAACATTTGTTGAAGGCGGTGTAGCACTATGAACTTGACACAAATTATCTTTTAACTTCACAACAGCACCAACGTGAGGAAAAGAAAAATAAGCGAATTGCTTAGGGTCATACAATAGAGTCAAGATTTTAATCCATGTCTGTCTGAGGTGGTCTCTGTGGTCAATCTCTCCATACTTCTCTAAGTGACTGTCATTCATGCAATTCTCAAGATTCAGAGAGGTTCTAAAAGAAGGCAAAATAAATGTCTCCTAATCTCCGAGAATAACTGATAACAACTTGAAATCACATTCTCTGGCATTGGGACCCTCCTCCAAGTTGGAGCTCCAAAATTGCGAAAACGCATATCCCACACAACCAGCAAGACTTTCAACTACAATCACGTTTGCACAGAGCTTCGGTTTACAAAACTCGGACTGGGTGCAATTAACTCATTTCAGATTAAGAGATAGGGATGAAAGCGTAACCTAATAGGTGGCAGGGTGGAGCACTTCCCCCAAATTTCTTGTTTTTAGAGCTTCTGCAGATTGGACCAGGGAGACGTCCCCTTCCCATGGGCCGGATCTGTGACAGCGATCTGACTTGGACCTTGCCTTGTGGAAGGCAGGCAGAAGGCAGGGAAGGAAGCGAAATCCTTTCATCACAGGCCCGAGAGTGGGGCAGAATCCCCGCAGCAGGAAGGGCGGGCTCGCAGACCTCATTCCACCCTTGCTCCCTTCCTCGGATCCCCTCGGATCCTCCCCATCCGGGTCCCATCCCTTTAGATGACCTGGCCAGTCCCTTCCCTTCCCTTCCCTCACTACCACCCAGGGAGACCCCGCGCCCAGCAGCTCACCGTGGTCCGGCACTGCTCCTTCTGCCACGCCTGTCAAAGCTCGGCAAACATCCGGCTCTGCTGTAGAGTGGGAACGCCCCCTCCCGTTCTCCCCACTCCCTGACCACTTCCGCCACACCTCCAATTCACTTCCGGCCCACTGCACCGTCTAAACACGGCCTTGCCTGGAGCCCCGCCCGCTTTCCGTGCGTGGCCGCCTGGGGGAAGGACAGCATAACTGTCCGACTCGTCCCTCCCAAAAGGAGGCGGCCGGAACCATTGGTTCCTAATTCCTTGCTACACAAGTCTCTGGGAGACCTGCGGAATCCTAAACTCGTATTGTTCTCTGACAGAGTTATGCTTCATCACTACTGCCAAACTCCCGATCCTGTGCACCATGAGGTCTGACTCTTACAATTTTTTCCTGAGAGGAAATTTGGAAGTCAATGACTGTTTCCGGGAGGAGCTGAGAAGGCGATGCTCACTTCCGGCGGAGGGAGGCTTCTGACCCGGGATGGATCAGGCGGAGGAGCTGCTCTTGGAGGGGGAGAGGCTGCAGTTTGGTGAGTGAGCTGCGATGTCTCCGAGCCTCGGCCCTAGTATAGATACACTTGACTTTCTCTGGTCAACTCTCTCCCCGCGACCCTTGTCCTCCCGAGCCCCGGAGCCGCTTCTGGTGCCTTCAGAGTCTCTGGAGACTTCTTCAGAGCCCTCGACCCACACCCCACTTCCCGTAAACCTCTGAGGGACTCCCTTAGAACTCTTATCAATCCGTCAGACTCCTGAGGCCAGGCTGGACCGGCGGTTTCCTCTCACTTCCCCCAACCCCCAGCCCACGACCTCTTGGGCCACTCCCTCACCGCCTTCCCATCTCCCTGCAGCCCCCAAGCCGCGCCTGGACCCGGGCTCAGGATGGAGCCCTTCCGGGGAAGGCTGTGCTCAGGGCCTCAAAGACTTCCCACCCTGGCCGACCCGAGCCGTCCACGCTTTAAAGAGCCTCCCCCGGGGTTTGGCCCTTGGCCCCTCGCTGGCCGAGGAACAGCGCTTGGGGGTCTGGTGTGTCGCGGAGCCTCTGCAGCCGGGACTGCTCTGGGGGCCGCTGGAAGAAGAGTCTGTCTCTGAGCAGAAGGACGAGGTTGTGAAACCACGGCAGGAGAAGGTATGGAGGGATATGGTCTCTTCTCTCTATCACTGCAAATGTGGAAGAGGTTCAAACGTTTCTGGACAGCTCTCCAGTTTATTAGAAAAAGCAGGATATTTTGAGAGATAGGAAACGGTTTCGTTTTTTCTCGCCAGAACTCTCTCTTCCCTCCACTTGAGGGAATGAGGGAATCGAGGCAAAAGCTGGATTAATATAGTATCATCAGTGATGAAAGTCAGGAGCAAAGGTTTTGGAATTAAATGGTATCATGTTCCATCCTTAGTGCCTAGCTAGTTAAATGGTGTGCCTCATTTAATTTATGTAAAATAAAGGAATGGTTGTTTCCTTTATTTTAATCTTCCAGGATTATTTGGAGCAATAGATGAAATAGCACAGGTAGAGGGTTTTGTTGCATAATAAGTACTAAAAAAAGAGTTGATGTTCCTCTTACTACTTTTTCCATTTGTTCCTCACTGGAAGGCAGTTGTGTGTTCGGTTTAGTAATTCTCCACACCCTTAGGAGTGAGGTGAGCGGACCCTCCTTTTGGTCTTTACTGAATGAAAAATCAGAAAACACAGTCCTGTAGAGGCAGAAAAGAGACCATTTAACTGTCCAGAAGCTTCACCATCTTAGATCTCCCTCAGGAGAAGTTACATCTGTTTTGTTTTTGTTTTTTCCCCTACTCTGACCCCCTCAAACACATGGGAGAAGGACTTTTATTGGTTTATTTCAGGACGTGTCACTAGGCCCATGGGGAGACGTGTGTGCTTGTGAGCAGAGTTCAGGCTGGCCCAGGTAAGTTACAGGAGAGTATGTAGTAAAGTTGCTCCTTTGAGGCTTTCTATTGTGGCATGGGATGGAACTGGAGCCGACTATAATTCTCCACCCAGTAATCTTTGCAGTGAGTGTTTTAAAGGCATGGGGTTCTTTTGGACCCAGACTGACCAGGAGCTGGGGCTTTCAGAAATGACCACTTGAAGAGGGTCTCCTGAGCTAGCTCTTGTTCTGCTTTGCAGTTTGGTGCAGCGGGGCAGGCTGGAGGGTGAGGGAAACGTGGCCCCGGTGTGGATCAACGAGAGGCTCCACCTGCAGGTGTACCGGGTGGTGCTACCTGGCTTTGAGTTGCTACTGTGGCCCAGGACTCCAGCTGAGGGCATCAGCCCTACCCAGCCCACGCTAGAAGAAGAGGCAGCTGTGGCTGTGGTGACAGGAGTGGAATCTGCTGTACAACAGGAAGCGGCCTCTCCTGAGGAGGATGCAGCAGAACCTTGTACAGGTATGTCTGTCATATAAATGGCTGGCTTCCCAGATTATCACCAGAACAACTTGTTGATAAGACAAAGCAGAGCTTATGGCTCAAGAAAGTAAGGGGGAACACCCCGGAGTCTTAGTAGTTTTTCTGAGGAGGAAGGGCAAAGCCTGGAAATTTATTGAAATTTTGAAGTCGGGTATAAGGTGGATCTTTCACTATGGGATGAGAGGCAGGGCTTGATTTGGACTGATTAAGGATCATAACATAATAGTTTAGGATTCACGGACACCGATAGCAAGGCTATAATTTTTAGGCAAAGGATTCAAAGAGTCTTGGAGTATAAGCTGTTATTCGAAGAGTCATGAGTCTATTCCTTGGAATGAACAACATAGGAATCTGCAACTCTTATCTCCCTAAATAAGTTTCCTGGAATAGTAAAGTCATGTCGATGAAGATAGTATAAGGTTTCCAGTTTCTTCTGTTTCTTCTCTCTGGGGTAGGGGTTCCTTCATTTTCAGATGAGCTAAGGTGAGGTAGTGCATCCTAAGTGCATATCTCTAGAGGGAGAACAAGGGGCCTCGGATGGCCTTACTCTAGGGATTATCTAGATGTCTGGAGCACTGTGGTTCCCAAGAGTACTTTCCCAAGAGGCACCTGGGACTCTTGACAGGAAGATAACCGGAGAGTGTAGCTCATGCTACACTGAAGCTCTTGCTTCAGTGTCATTGCTCCCGCTGAAGTTCAGGGGCTGAGGACACATATTCCTATAATTTCCTGATGACACCACCTTAATCACCTGCTACAATCTCTGTTAACCCCAGCACTTAACTCTTGTCTTGCAGATCATGGTCACCAGTCACCTCCCAGCATCCAGGCAGAGCATATGGTGAGCTCTGGACTTAAGCTTCTAACCCAGGACCAACTTTCCAAGGAGAGCCAAACATTTGTTCCGTTGCCTCAGGATGGCAGCGTGTACGAGGAGTCCCCACCCCAGACACAGATGCCACCTGAACCTCAGAGCAGTGAGGCCACTTCATCTTCTGGGGGCACCCAGCTGCATGCTTACCTGGTCAAGAAGTTACGTAGCCCCAGTAATCAGTGCCCACCCAGAGCAAAAACCTCAGAGCACAAGGTGCAGCAGGCTGGAGAGCAGCACCCCAGCTTCTCTGCACGTTTGAGGAACCCTCCTGGCCCGGTGGGAGGCTCTCCAAAACAGGGGCGACGGTACCGGTGTGGCGAGTGTGGCAAGGCGTTCCTGCAGCTGTGCCACCTGAAGAAGCATGCGTTCATGCACACAGGCCACAAGCCCTTTCTTTGCACCGAGTGTGGCAAGAGCTATAGCTCAGAGGAGAGCTTCAAAGCCCACATGCTGGGACACCGTGGGGTACGGCCCTTCCCCTGCCCACAGTGCGACAAGGCCTATGGCACCCGACGAGACCTCAAAGAGCACCAAGTGGTGCATTCAGGTGCCCGACCCTTTGCTTGTGACCAGTGTGGCAAGACCTTTGCCCGCCGGCCCTCCCTACGGCTGCATCGCAAGACCCACCAGGTGCCAGCTGCCCCAGCCCCATGCCCGTGTCCCGTGTGTGGGCGGACCCTGGCCAGCCAGGGCTCCCTGCGGAACCACATGCGGCTCCACACAGGGGAAAAGCCCTTTCTGTGCCCACACTGTGGCCGGGCGTTTCGCCAGCGGGGCAACCTGCGTGGGCACCTGCGGCTGCACACAGGGGAGCGCCCTTACCGCTGCCCGCACTGTGCCGACGCCTTCCCACAGCTGCCTGAACTGAGGCGCCATCTCATCTCCCACACTGGGGAGGCCCACTTGTGCCCCGTGTGTGGGAAGGCCCTCCGAGACCCACATACGCTGCGTGCTCACGAGCGCCTGCACTCGGGGGAGAGGCCCTTCCCATGCCCCCAGTGTGGCCGTGCTTACACACTGGCCACCAAGCTGAGGCGCCACCTCAAATCCCACCTGGCCGACAAGCCCTACCGCTGCCCCACCTGTGGCATGGGCTACACCCTCCCCCAAAGCCTCAAGCGGCACCAGCTCAGTCACCAGCCTGGGGCACGCTCTAGCCCCCCCTGTGTGCCTCCTGCTTCTGAGCCCACAGTGGTGCTACTGCAGACTGAGCCAGAACTGCTGGACACATGCAGCAAACAGGATGCCTCCCCAGCCCGGGATGTCTTCGAAGTCACCATTTCTGAGAGCCAGGATAAGTGCTTTGTGGTGCCGGAGGAGCCAGGCCCCGCACCCAGCCTGGTGCTCATCCATAAGGACTTAGGCTTTAGCACCTGGGCAGAAGTGGTGGAGGTGGAGACAGGCACCTGACACCCTCGCCTTTCCCCGGCAGAGCTCTATATAAAGACAAGCGTTTTCTAGCTGCTTGGTGTTTGGGTCTTTTCTCTTTGTGTTGCCTGATAGAAACTAGAACCTCCTAGGAGAAGCAGGTCAAGGACTGCCCTTCCTGCTTATGGACCACCAAATTGTTTCCTGTAAGGTAAACCTCTAGTTCTAGACTTAAGATCTTTTTATTCACTTCCAGGGGAGCTTTTTCTGCCTCTTTGCCTAGGAGCTCCACAAGGCTCCTGTTATTTAAGCATTGTAGAAGTGATCCCGCCCAGTGAGGTCATCAGGTGGCTGGCAGCCCGCTGCCCTTTGGGGTGCTTAGTGCTGGGACATTCACTCTCATCAAGCTCCCTGAGGAACAAGCTCTTTTATTTGGAACCAAACTGAATGACTTTTGAGGATTAAAAGGCCAAAGACTGAGCTTAGTTCCCAGCTCAAGTCTCTCTAACTCAGGCTGTAGGTTATTTTGGTAGATTTTCTCACTACTTGAGGGCTATGAAGTTGGTTTTCGTGCTGAAAGACACAAGACTCAATGGAGGTAGGTGCAGAGGGCCTGATCTATACCCTTCTGTGTCCCTGACCCATGGGCAGTCCTGTTGAGGAAGAAGTGAGGAATTAACACGTATCTTGCATCTGCTGCAGTCCTGGACTGCCTTAGGTGCTGGGGATGCAGTATGAGCAAGACAGTCGGGCAGTTCCCTTCACAGAGCTCATGAGCTACTGTGGGGAGAAAGCCTTGGATAAGAGTTTGAAGAGGAGCACCGTCTGGTGCTATGGATGCGTTTTATGGGAAGGTTTAACTAGGTCTGAGCCATCAGGGAAGGTGTCCCCGCGGAATAATAATGATACTAAACCCTAAGCTCTTATTGTGGGCCATTTCTTTATGTGAGTTTATACATAATTTTCATAGCAACCCCGTGAGGTAGGTGGTAGTTATTTTACAGATGAGGAAACAAAGAAGATTAAATATTCTGCCCAAGGTGACAAAGCTACGAGGTGGCAGAGCTGAGATTCAAACCCATATAGTGCTGGAGTGAGGGTCTTTAGCCTTTGCACTCTGCCGTCCCTCCTTTCAACTGTGACTTGACAGATGAGTAGGTGTCAGGCAGGTGAGGCGTGGGGAGCTACACGTGAAAAAGCCCTGTGATGGGAGCCTGGTGGGTATGAGCAACCGAGACGAGCAGGGCTGGAGCAAAGAGAATGAGGGGAGGTGGCTGCCAGGTCACAGAGACCTTGCTTTAGGAGTTTGGACTTTATTCTCAGGACATCCAGGATCTCCTCGACGGGATTTGAGCAGGGGAATAACGATCAGATTTGTGTGTGAAGAGACCACTGGAGAAGACTGGCAGGCAAGGTGCAGTCGTGGGGAAATTAATTCGGAGAATGCTGAGGTGGCTGGGAATGGGGTGGTAGCAGTGGAAATACAGAGAAATGGAGTCATTCATCCAGCAAATATTTCTCGAGCACTTCCTGTATGTTAGGGATCTAACTGTAATCTCTGCTCTTTCTAGTATAGAGAGGCAATAGATACATAATAGACTGGTAAATGCAGTGAAGAAAAATAATGCAGGGAGAGGTTAAAATGGGGGGTGATTTTACAGAGGGCGTTTAGGGAAGGGCTCTAATAATGTGATGCAAGCAGAGACCTGTGCTATGAAAGGGAGTGAGCCAGGTTGATGTCTGCAGGAGTGGGATTCCCAGCAGAGCCCAGTGAGTTCACAGAAGAGCAAAGAGCAGAGTGGCCAAGACAGAGCATGGAAGGAATCTGGAGGGGAAAGCCACACTATCCAAAGCCTGAAAAACAGCTGCTAATACTAAGTTTTAGTCAGCAGACCCTGCTTTTTCTTGAGCTTGCATGAGGCTCTGTAGGTCCTAATCTTTTCGAGCTCCTGCTTCAGACAGGGTCATTTCAACTCAGACAACCACTCAGCAGTGTCTGCCCAGTGTTGTTAGGTATCCTGGGAACATACTCATTGCTTGAGATAGAACTGTGCAGGGAAGAGAGGATGCTTTGAATTGCTGGGGAGACCTGTTGACACCCTACAACAATCCTCAAGCCCAAACCTGGGATGCTCACACCCCTTGCCACTTTTAGTTAATTTTTTCTCCCATGTTTTAAAAGATTTCTGTTAAAGAGAAATGGACTTACTCATTTTTTAAAAAGTTATTATTTATGCCTACAGTACCTGGTCTTTCTAGGTGGTCTCCCATCCAAGTACTAACCAGGCCCAACCCTGCATAGCTTCCAAGGTTAGATATCTGGCTTGTTCAGGGTGGCATGACCATAGACCATGGACTGTGGCTCCACTGGGGTGGGATGTAAAATAGATGTGCTAACCACTACACTATGGAAACACATCCTGGACTTATTTTCAAAATTAAAATAGAAAACTGATCAGATCAAGATCGAATTTAAAGGCACCTGGTTTGGGAGCCTCTGCTCTGCCAACTCATGGCTAAAGTGAGAATGGGTATCAGAGAGCATTGTCCAAGCTACTGTTAAAGATTAAAAAAATGGAGGCCTAGAGGAAAGTCATTTGCCAAGGCATGAAACCAGTCAGTGGCAGAACCCAGACAGGGCCCAAGTCTTCTGACTCTTAATTTAATACTCTTCTAGCTAAAACATAATACAGCGATTTTCTTGGAAAGACTAGTCACTGGAATTTTTTTCATTGAGAAAATGTTTCCCCCTGATTTCAAAATAATTCTTGTTCATCATAATGTTGAAAGTCTCTTATTCCCTACTCCTTCCCTCCATCCCTTTATAAAGTCACTTTTAACAATTTGGTGTATATAGTACTGAATTTGAACACTGCTTCCTGCTCTAGGGCAAAGATGTGAAAACAATGCTGGATGCCTTTTCACAGATGTAAGTTTAACCACCCGGTGTTTATAGCTGCTAAACCGAACATCAGAAAGGGCAGATCTTTTGTCCTGATTTGCAACTTTAATAGAATGAGAAAATCTTAGGAAAAAAATTGAATCATGTTTCGGGACCTTTAAGCAATGCAAAGCATCATGGACTGTAAAGAGCTCCATCTCTAGACAGTTTCAAATATGGATCATGGCTCTACCCTTGGCTAGCTGCATAAACTCAGGGAAGATACTTAGCTTCTCACTGCCTGTTTCTTCATAAAATGGGGATAAATATGTACCTACCTCATCAGTACTGTGTACCTGGCACACAATGAGCAATCAGTAAATTGTAGCTGGTTATTAATAGTATTGTAATCAGCCCTCCCAAATTGGAAGACAAGATTAAGATACAATTTTCCTATAGGTAATACTTGTTTGGGGCAGGCTGACATCACACAATAGTTTTGTACTTGGGCGCATGTCCTCGAGGTATACTGCACAGTACAGTAAGGCTGTGCTCTACCTGAATGCCAGGGGATGAGGGTCATGTGAGGTGAAGAGGAGCAGGTCTCATCCTGAATTTGCCACCAATTCTCTATATGACCTTAATCAACTTCCCCACCCGGAGCCTTCCATTTTCTCATAGAGTGACATGGGGAATTTGGACCAGATCACTGGTTCCCATGGAATCCTTTAGCTAATTTTTTTCTTCTATAGACCCCATATTTTAAAAGATTTCTGTTAAAAGAGAAAAGGACTTACTCATTTAAAAAATTAAAATAGAAAACTGAACAGGTTGAGAAAAGCATAAGGTAATTAACTGCTCAAAGAGACATAATTTCAGCCAAAAGGGGAAAACATTATTTTTTGTCTTAGGGTAAATTTACAATTTTGCGGGTTTTTGTTTTTGTTTTTGTTTTTTTAATATACAAAGGGACAAGCCACCCTGTAGTATATACACAAAGTCTAAGCTTCAAAATGTCTGGATTTAATGATATCTGGTCTTTCTTTCAGCTCTGAAATTCTCTGTCTTGGAACATAATTTTACTGTTTTTCAGTAATTATAGAGCTTTACTTTATAACATAATATTGGTCTTACCCTTGAATTTGTGTGACAACCTATTGGGCAGAAATGCAACCCCCTACGGCCATGCCACCCTGAATGTGCCCGATCTCGTCTGATCTCAGAAGCTAAGCAGGGTCGGGCCTGGTTAGTACTTGGATGGGAGACCACCTAGGAAGACCAAGTGCTGCAGGCATTAAAAAAAAAGAAGTTTAAAAATAAGGGATTGTAAGCCAGCAAGATCCTTGCAATCTGTGAGGTCAACCAAGGGTTGCTTTCCCTAAAAAATAAAAGTAAAAAAAGAAAAAAGAAATGCACCCCCTCACTGTGGCCTTGCTCTTAGAGGGCAGTGTGGTCTGCTTTAAGTATGCAGGCATATGTTTGTGGTGAAAAACAGGAATGACATGCTGTTGCCCACGGGGCCCCAAGAGTTCCAAGGAGAATGGTTCATGGAGGCTAGGAGACTTGTACTGGACCCCGAAGACTAAGGGTATGTTGGGTCTGTTGGAGCCCTGTACCCATCCATGGTGGTGCCACCATGGCCTGGCAGAACTCTTCAATCCTTCTCGAGCCACTCGCAGAAACAATGCTCTTCCTCGATCCTCTCTGCAGTCGAGAGTGTAGGCATGGTCTTCTGTTCGCCCAAGAAAACATGGAGCCTGTCTAACTAGAATCTACTTACTACTTGCCGTGCTTGTTTCATCTGTTTGCTATAAATTCTTCAGTATAATCTATAACTCATAAGGATTTTAACAATACAACCATGTGTCATATAATACTAACTTAACAGTCCCTTCATATTATTGAGAACCTAATCTATATTTAACAGTCCCTTCATATTATTGAGAACCTAATCCATATTTAAATTTAAAAAAAAAAAGTCTTTTTACAGTTAATTTGTTGAAATATCTAAACTAGTCGTGGTAATTTGATTCCCTTTGTGCATTTGGTTGTTAGATCTCTCTTATTATTCTGAACAATTTCTCTTACTCCACCCCTTGTCAGAGAAACTGGAGTTATTTGTCCTGTCGAATGACCCTCATTCCTTGTGGTGGTATCCTATTCTTTTATTATCCGTATTTCCCATAAACTAGCAATTAAAGCTAGAGGTTGATTTGATCCAGGTTCACTATTTTCAGGAAGAACCCTTCATGGCCAGCATTGTGTATTTCCTGTTGTACCATATCATGTAACAGTGCTGTTTATTGACATTATCATACTTCACAAACATATGTTTTATTTGGGGAGGGGAATAGTTTAGTTTTTATTTAATAATGATACACTTAACTCTGAATCCAACTAGACTTGGAGGAGATAAGGCTGGAATCCAAAGAATTGCAATAAGCGAGAACACAAAGATTACGAGATATGAGAGCTGGGTTGTTCTCCTCAGGGACAAAAGGAATCAGAGGTAAAACACAAAATCCTGTACCCAAAATCTCCTTGGCTTTCACAATATTCATGCCATCTCTCTCCTGGCCAGAGCCCATGCTTGCCATCCAAACCATCAGTTTTAACTGTGCAGATGACAATTGGAAGCCATTTAGGTTGGGTCTAGCATTTGCCATGGATGAGATGTCAGGACTCCTGTTCTTCAAAATGAAGTTCTCATTAGCAAAGTTCTCCACCTAGATAGACTTGCTGCTGGTACTCTTATGATAAACCCAGAAATAAGTCTGGGAAAGCAATAATCCTTCTAACCAAATCTCATCTTCCCAGTGCTCAGAGAACTGAAGTTTTCTGCTTTGGAACATTGTCTACAAACAGCTTGAAGAAGACCTGGCCCAAGAACTTGCCTGTCATGGCCATGTCTGTACATGGACTCGGCAAGCCAGCAACATCGAATGAGAGTCAGCAAAGAGTCCAGTAGGATCTTATTTAAGTTCTTCCACAACAGCCTCATGAGGTGAATTTTGTTATAATTTTGATTTTACAGATGATGAGACAAAGGACTGGCCTCCCAAACCAGTATTCACTTCCATGCCGTGGTGCTGGTCTGTCAGGGCTGCGGATTTCTGGCAGCCAGGGAGCAAGGGGGAAGTCAAGAAGAGGGCAGTCTCCCCGCCCCCGCCGCCTCCCCTCAAATCTTCAGTAGAAGAGGTGCCCTGTGTTATGTGTTTTGTCCTCCCTGCCAGTACCCCACACTCCACCCACTTGCCTCTTCTCCTTCTCCAGGTCGACTCAGCCCTGGCCCAAGCTGGTCCTCAGAAAAAGGAGGCTCCCCTGCCTCCAGGCAGGAGGGGTGAAACCACACATCTCTCCACTTCACCCTTAATATGGAATTTTTAAAGAAATCAGTGAGGTGAGATCTTTTCACTATTCCACTCAAAAAAAAAAAAAAAAAAGTAGGCTCAGTGTCATTAGTAATAGGGATACAAATTAAAACCAAGATGAGACACCTACACATCCATCAAAATGGTTAATGTGAAACGTCTGGACAACATAAAATGTTGCTGAGGATATGAGCAACTGGGAGTCTCAAACATTACTAGTGAGATTATAATCTAGCACTCGGGACAACTATTTGTCATAGTGACTTAAGCAAAAGATGTGCCTGCCTTATTACCAAGCAAATCCACTCCTGGACCTGTACCCAACAGAAATAAGTGCTTATCTACACGAAAAGAGTTGTACACAAATATTCATAGCACTCTTCATAGCCCCAAACTGGAAACTAATCCAAATGCCCATTAAAAGGTGAATGGATAAATAAAATGTTCTGTGTTCATGTCACGAGAGACTATGCAGCTTTAAAAGAAACGACTCCTAATACACACAACATGGATGAATCTCAGAAACATACTGAGTGAGAGAAGCCAGACACAAACAGGTATATGCTGCCGGTTTTCATTTAGATTAAGTTAAAAACTGATCTGTGGTGATGGTGGTTAGAATAGAGGTTATTTTAGGGACAGCACGAAGGAGTCAGTTGGGCCTGGAAATGTTCTCTCTCGATCGGTGATGGTTACATAGGTGTATGCATAAAAATTTGAGTTAAACACTTAGGATTCACTTTAACATTACTGTATATAAGTTAAACTTCAATTTAAATGTATAAAGAGAAAAATAGGAATATATAACATAAATATATATAAATATAAATGTAGGACTGGGCCACTCAGGAATTAAGCTAATTTGTGGGGAGTCATAGTTCCAAGTTCTCTGCCAACCCTCTCTCTTTTCCCTCCCTGTGATCTTCCCAGACCATATATAACCACAGTCCAGACCCTGGACAGCCAGGCTCGAAGGACAGCAAGGCAAGAACCTGTGCTACCTATGTTTCTGCTCTTTGTCCTTCTGTCCTAATTAGACCCACGACTAATATTTACCTTGTGTACTGCAAACAGGAAATGGGGGAGGGACGGGAGCAGAGCCAGAAGATGGGTAGTGTAGGGCCACCAGGTGTTCTGGGCTGGCCTAGGGCCTACAGGTGGGGGAGAAGGAGGGGATCACGGTTATTTGGGGATTTGGGCTGGCCCCTGTTCCTGGCAGGCCAGCTGAGCAGCAGGTCCTGGGATATGGGAGGAAATAGAACAGAGGCCCAAGAGGCCCTGGCCCGGGCTCCCCTCAGGCAACCACTACATACAAACACTGCCCCACAGCTCCCCAGACACGCAAGAGGGGAAATGGGACCCTCTATGAGTGGCTGAGAGGCTGGGGCAAATCTTGGCCATTCTTGCCCCTCATGTATCCTAGGGCAAGGTGGGCAGTGCTCATCTGACCACGCCCCTCTATTTTCTTATATCTGTATATTGTGGTCACACAAACCTTCCTGTTGGTTTACATCCATGTATCTACTGATGATTAATCACTTACTATATTTCATATGATTTACATTCATAATCTCCTTTAGTCCTCACATCAAAGTACTATTCCCATTGTACAGATGAGGAAACAGAGGCACACACAGATTAAAGCAACCATCGCCATGTGTCAGGATTGAAAGGAGCCTTGGGAAGACCTTGTGACCCCACTGGCCCAAGCAGGCCCATGTATGCATCAGGGAAGGAGGGGCTGGACGACGCTGGTTACACTGGTCTTTCCTTTGTGACTTCCTCCCAGATCATCTATCTCTGGTCCCAGGAGGACCTGTTCTCCCAGATGGTGGGGTGGACTATCTATTCACTTGTCCCCGTGGCCCTGACCTGCTGACCACTCCCTTTTAGCTGATTTCATGTTAGTTTAACATTAACCCAGAGGGGTCAGGACTAGCCCTCAGAGTCTCAAACTGACACACTATGGCACACGTCTGCGGCCTGTGGCTACCGGGCTGCCTGGCCTTGGCTGCCCTGTTTAGCTTGGTGCACAGTCAGCATGGTAAGGGGGGCTTGAAGCTGGGACAAGCTGGCGGACTGGGATATGGGCCCACAGGCTGGGGTCCCCTGGCTTGACAGAGAACGTGGGGCCATCTCCCAGGTGGACCTCAGCCTGTGGTATCCAGCTTAGGGGAGGAGTCTGGTGCTCAGGGCTGGGCAGTGACTACTTCTCTCTTGCAATATGGAGAGTGGGCTAGGGGTGACCAGTGAAAGGAGGGAAGCTAGCGGGCTACTGTCAGACATCCCTTTTCGGAAGGCAGCAAGGCAAGCCAGGCTTGCTTCCGGCTCCCACGATGGCCATGACAGCTGGGCTCCCTCAGGCCACTGTCCCGTGCCTCTCCTACTGCAGTGTTCCTGGACCCTCGGCAAGCACTATCGCTTCTCCATCGAGTCCGACGTGCCAACAGAGGCCTCCTGGAGGAGATGCGCAAGGGCAACCTGGAGCGAGAGTGCGTGGAGGAGCTGTGCAACTATGAGGAGGCCTTTGAGGCCCTGGAGTCCTCCAGCGCCACGGTGAGGGAGGGCCAGGCCGTCATGGGGAAGGCCGGATCCCTCCATACGGGCCAACTCTAGGACCTCAGATGAGGGGAGCAAAGCACATTGCAGCTCTTTAACTATGATAACTTCATCTCTGGGTCCCATTTTACTGAGCTGCCAAGATGAACAACTTCACCTCTCTTGGAGGTCCTGATGGCTGGTCCCAGAGCCTCTCAGTCTTTAGATATCTGTCTACATGGAGCTCCTGGTCCCCAGGGCCTCTCAGCTCCAGCTTTTCTACCAACTCTGTGCCACCCTTGGGGTGTGGGACTCTGGTGAGGCTGGCAGCCCTGGGCCTCGGCCTCAGTGTTCCACGAGCCCTTTTGCAGCCTTTCCCTTCCTTGGGGCTCTGCCCGGGCCCCACTGCCAGGGCCCCACACCCTCCCTTCCCCAGTCTACCCCACCGGGAGTAATCCCTTTTGGGGAGCTCCTCTCTCCTCAGATGCCCTTCTCAGTGGGCTCGGGCTTATGGAAACGAAAGTAGGACACTCTGCCACAAACCTCCCCAGAGCCCACCTCCCGAG